TCCAGTAGTAAGTCACAGCTAGAGTAGGCCCATTGAATCCATAGGGATTTGGTTAATCAACTTCTCCATTAGCGCCATTGATTCAAATGGTCTATTCTAGTTGCACCTTCATGGGCTACAATCCACTTCTCAGACCATTTTGTTGAGTTCACATGTGTCTTCTCCACAGCACATATATTAATAATTGGTGAAAGTCTTGAGAGGTTGGGATCACCTAGGTACGGTGTACATAATATTGGAGCATGCAAGTCCTAGAAAACACAATGGCCACAAATGTTTTCCCTGTGTCAGATTCTGCTTCCAGAGGAAGTAAACTCAAAGTATGGCAGCTGGAGGAAGGAGATGATATTCATTCCACTTTCAAGTCTTCTGAAAAGACATACTCCAAATCGAACCAACTGCAATCACCTTTTCTAAAGTAAAACCTATCTTTGCTATGTTGGACCCTTGCTGTGCTGCAGTATGCCCATTTTATGGAAAGTTTTACTTCTGTTCTGTGTTCTGGGGTCATGATCCTGGCCGTCTGTTTACATCCTTGATGTGACTGCAGTGAAATGGCCTGATTTCTTTATTCTATTTAAATTCATTCTTTGGTTATATCTGTTGAAGAGCAGCGGAAATTTATTCGTGCCTGTGTATTTGGAAAAGAGATGGGCTGTTAACTCTAGTCACTTTTTTATATATACATGTTCTCCTCAAGTTATAAATTTTACGGTATGCATTGCTTCTACTAATTAGCAAATAGTTTTGCAGTGCAGCTAGAGTAGGCCAATTGAATGAATGGAGCTTGTTGAAATAGTTTGATGTCAGATTACAATTTTGAGTAGATTTGACTAGACTAATGTTATTCCAGCTTTTAACCCTGACTATGAAAATTTACTGCACCAAGATCACAGATATATCTGACTGACTTTTTGCTAATTGTAATCTCTAAAAACTCTTAAGGACCAATATACCTAGGAAATAGCCTTCTTAAATGAGAATCCATTCCATCTGCCATGTCCAGATAGCAAGAGCTGTTCTCTGTGACCCTTCTACGTCTACAGATACTGCTTTGCTTTGAGACAGGCCAGAGCACTACAAGATCATCGCACTGGCCTGTTCATCAAAGGAAAAAAAGGAAGGAAGGAATAAAGGCAGGGAGAAAACTCACTATATGCCTGGATCCATTCCAGTCAGGCTTCAGGCCACGCTACAGCACGGAAACGGCATTTGTCACCCTGTTTGATGACCTATTGAGGGAGGTTGACAGAGGCAAAATGTCTCTGCTGGTCCTCCTAGATATCTCAGCCGCCTTTTTAAAAAAATACAGCTATCATTGATGGGAAGAATAGTAACCATCAAAATGAATGTTCTACCTAAAATTTTATTTTTATTTCAGACAATTCCCATAATATTAAAACAGTCATTTTTTTTCAAGAACTTAACAAGATAATCATGAGATTTGTGTGGCAAGGTAAAAAAACAAAAATTAAAATCAAAGCAATGCAAGATGCCAATCAAAGAGCCGGTTTTGGTCTCCCAGATTCGGTATTGTATTATAGAGCCCATGTATTAGTCTGGATAAAGGAATGGATAAAGATAGACTACTTAAGTTGGAAGGACATGATTTACAATTAGGTTGGCATGCTTTTCTATGGTCCAAAAAAAGATAAAGAACAGAAAAGTTTCAACTCGCATATGATAAGAAGAGCCCTACCAGGGACTTGGAAAACGATCATCCAGCAGATTTACCAAAAAAAACCAAAAAAAACAAAAAAAAACCCACCAGGCTGGGTATCACCCATAGAGGCCTTTACACAACCTAACCTCATGACAGAAGTGAAACTTTTAAAATCTGAAGATCTATTTAAAAATGATTGTGAGTTAAGGTCCAAGGAAGAGCCATAAATACAAAACATATCTCTAGACTGGTGGTCCAGCGCACAAGTGGGATCTAGGTATAGAAAAGATAAAATAGAGGGCTTTAAGACAGAACAAACAATATTCAATAAACTTCTGCGACAGAACAAACAACATTCAATAAACTTCTGCTGGGCTCAAATGATAAAGTAATTAAGAAAATGTATGATTATTTGCTTGAAACTAAAATGCAAGATGGGATGGTAAAAGAAAGTATGATTAGGTGAGCACAACATATAGGACATAATGTTGATATTGATCAATGGTTGCAAATATGGAAAAATAACATAAAACTCACAAAATTGGTTAATTTCAAGGAGAACATATATAAGATGTTTTATAGGGGGCACATGACTCCAGAAAAATTGTCAAAGATTTATACAGAGGTGTCAAATGTTTGTTGGAAGTGTGAAGCACAAGAGTGGTTCTTCTGGTGGATTTGTAGAGTAGCGAAACAATATTGGATAGCAGTACATACTCTGTTACAAAAAATACTGCTTTGTAAGGTTCCATTAACCCCAGAATTGTTTTTACTGAGCATTATACCAGATAATATAGACAAGACAAAGAACTACCTAGTTATATATATATAGTCTCTGCAGTCTTATGCTAAGAATTGGAAGAAATCGGAGATACCGAAACATTGAGAAGATATGGGAAGCGGCAGAAATGGATATTCTATCAGAAGTGTTGAAAGACTGTCCAATACAAAAGGCAACTGAACAATGGGATTTATTATATAAATGGCTTGAGTCACCAGATAGTGCTTGAATAACATAGAATTAAACTACTGTAAAATGTAACTGTAAGTTGAAAACTGGAGGGCAATCAAATTGTAGAAAGGCAAAAGGTTGACTTGATAGTGCAAGATGAACAAACAGATTGGATGACAGCACATTTTTGTGTTCTCCTTCCCCCTCTTTCCCCCCTATATCACCATCTACCTTTTGTACTCCTTACCTTATCCCTAGTTTTTTTAATAAATAAATAAAAAAAATATATCTCAGCTGCCTTTGATACTGTCAACCATGGTATCCTCCCTGGGGAGGCTCTCAAAGTTGGGAATTGGTGGCCTGGCTTTTGCCTGGCTCCATTCCTTCTTGAAGGACCATCCCCAGAGAATGCAGATTGGAAAGAGTTTTTCAGCCCCATGGAGCCTCGGTTGTGGGGTTCTGCAGGGCTTGATCATCACTCCAATGCTGTTAACATCTCTATGAGGCCACTGGGAGGGATCATCAGGGGATGTGGGGCTTTGTGTCATCAGTATGCAGCTGATACTCAGGTCTATATCTTTTTTCCAACAACAGTAGATACTCTTTTGTCCCTTGACTGCTGCCTGGGGGCTGTTCAGCAATGGATGCAGGAGAATGAACTGAGGCTGAACCCAGACAAGAAGAAGGTCCTTCAGGTGGGTGGCCCAGACATCAGTGGTTTCAGAAACTCCCTCTCTTTTTGGGGGGTGACTCTTACTATCAAGAGTGACGTTCGCAGCTTGGATGTATATCTGGACCTGGTGCTCACCATGGAAACTCAGGTGGAGTCAGTGGTCCATGCCACACACTTCCCTCTTTGGCAGATTGCCCAGCTGTGTCCCTATCTTAATGTGAGGGCACTCACCACTTTGGCCCATGTGCTTGTAGACTCGAGTTTGAACTACTGTAATGTGCTCTACGTGGGGCTGCCTTTGAGACTGACGTGGAAACTTCAGATGGTGCAGAATATGGTGGCAAGACTTCTTACAGGGCTGAAAAGATACTACCATATTTCCCCCACACTGGCCAATTTACATTGGCTGCCGATTTGCTTCTGCATTGATTTCAAAGTCCTAACAATGACATATCAAGCCCGCAATGGTTTAGGACCTCGATATCTGGCACAGCGCCTCCTTCCCCCCCCCCCCACAGTTGCCCGC